GAAGTCCGTGTGCCGGTGGAGGGCCGGGCGCTGCCGGCGGCTCGTGGACACCGGCGGCTTCGTGCACGGCTCCTACGAGGGCCGCGTGCGCGTCGCCGGCAGCGACGCGGAGCAGGGCCCCTTCACCGTGGTGCTGCGCGACCTGAGCGAGGACGACGCGGGCTGGTACTGGTGCGGCGCCCGCAGCGGCCTCGCCGAGCACACGGCCTCCGTGAAGCTGCACGTGCAGAGGGGTAGGTGGTGGGTGTGCTCCCACCGCGACGCATCCCTTTTCCTCCTCAAAACGCCTCTCCCCAGGCAGGGACAGAGCAGACTCCGCTTTGCAAGAACACAACGTCATGGGAAACACCCATGCCTTGCAAACACCTACCTGCAAGTCACGAAGCTGATGGAGAGGGTCTCCCAAGCAAGGACGCCAGCTGGACTTTTGGCAGCAGTTTAGTTTGTTTGAATGGTGCCGTTGGTCATTTATGGAGTCGCACCTGGAGTCTCCGGCGTGCACTACGGAGACACACATAGCGCTCTAAAGACAAGTCGAAAAGTGTCTCACCCTTCCCGATGGGGTATTTCTATGCAGCTGCTTGTGTTTGGTCATATCATGGTGCATTTTTCTTATCAGGAGCTGCAAAGTGAAATGCAAAAGCCTGACAGATATTTTCGCAAAAATAATGGTTTGGGGCTAAATCTATCATGTTTACTCTGCAAAAAATATGGGTATTCAAGACTTGAAAAAATTTTCTTCCCCAGGAGCCCGCTCTTCACAAGGCCCAGAGACGTCCGCCGTCACGGAGCCTACGTCCCCAGCGCCAGCCGCATACAGCACTGCCACACAGAGCGGTGTCACCAGCCAGACGTGCACGGAGGTGGCATCCAGGGAGGGCACAAGCGCCCTGGTGACCACGCTCCGCTCGGCCACCTCGGAGACCGCCAGAAGGGAAATCCATCGTGGGAGGCAAGTAGAGCTCCGTGGTTCTAGCAGGGGCTCTGTCTCGCCTGCTGCTGGGCAGGACGTCTGCCCAGCTGCTCCACACAGGCTGTAAACGCTAACGAGAGCTATTACTAATTAGAAATGCAGAAGGCAAAGTTATCTCGTGTCCATCTGCAGCGCGGATCTTTGAACTTCTAACTAAATCTCCTGGTGCTGGTGACGGCTGCAGAGCAGATGCCAGAGTCAATAGACCTGTTTTCCTTTGGTTTGGCTGCAGACAGGCTGTGAGGAAGCTCTTGGCTCATGCACGTTGCTGCACACATTTTGCAGCCCTTATGTGCAGTCAGGTGCTACCTGGGTGCTCTGGGCCACCTCAGGAGCTAAGCTTCATCCAAAGCTTCCGAGCTGTTTTGGCCAATCATTATTCCATAGCACGTCTATGCAAAAAGACGTTGGCAAATCCAGCACAAAGTATTTTTCCCCGCTGGTGATTTTAACGTCGGTGCTTCCTGCTGGGCGGCTGTGCGCGGCTTTGCGCCTTCCACGCTGGCCATGGCCACCATCCAGCCCCGGTGAAGCCATCTGCAGAGCTGTGCAGACCCGTGTGCAGGATCGGTCATATCTGAATGTGGCAAAGCCACGAAGTCCCCAAAAAACGATTAGGCTCCTCCACTATGGGTCCCTTTCCCTGCAAAACGGGGTCTGCGTGTGGAGCTTACGCTGCCTCTGCAAAGAGGTGACACCTAGACATCCTCCAAGATGCCCTCCAACACCACGGTTGTCGGCAACACCTTGCAAAGGAAGCGTCCACCCCACGTGCATGCGCTCGCGTGGTGGGGTCAGCTGGTGTTCTTTTTGGAGGGGAAAATTCAGTTGGCAGCATAAACCTCACAAAGTGGAGCGAGGTCATAAGTGGCTATAGAAATTACTTCCTCATAAGCCAAACTCCAGATCAAGTGATTGCATCTCCACTTGACTTTGTTGACTGTTCTCTGGGGATTTGGTCAGAGTTTATAATACTTTGATACTCTTTGGTGTAAAAAACACAGCCTCTATTAAGCACTGCAGGTGCCAAAACGTGAATCAAAATCCTACTTAATTTAACCCAATTTAATTCAGAGCATTTGTCCCTCCAGAGCAACGAGTGAATCGCGTCTGCTGTCCGTTGTGCTACCAGCTCTCGCGGGGCTGCTTCTCATCACCGTCACTATTCTTGTCCTTACCAAAATAAAGCTTCATAAGGAGGCAGGTAAGCGGCCAGGCAACACCAAGGGGGTTGCGGCTGTTTCTGTTCCGTGAATCCCACATTTTCCTTTTCCATGGGCAAGAGCCTCATGGAAAAGCTCTGTCTTGAGAAGCAGACGCGGTCAGTGCCGTGCGGGCAGCAAGCGCAGCGCGACCGCGGCGAGCTGCGTGCTAGACACGCTCGAGCCAAAAGCAAAGGAAACAACCCGAAATTTTGGAGTTCTGCTGAAAACCAAGCCAAGAGATTCCTGCAGATCAAGCGCTTTTATTGCCCCACCAGTGCTCGGAAAGGGAGCAGTAAAAAAGGGCACGGAGCTGCGCCATGGGACGGGTGCCGAGGCCGGCCCCGGCCGCCACAAACTCGCCGCCATTCACCCCAACCCAGCAAGGACGTGCCCAAATAATCCTTGCCAAACAACTCATTTCCAGTAACGCCCATGAATAAATATCCTTCTAAAAGGATATCACTAGTGATAAAATCAAGTTAAATTAATCTTAAAACCATATTGCAGTGTGCTTGGAGATCTCAGTGGGCGGCTGGGGAGGTTTTCCTTCCAGTGCGCACACATTTCTTGTTTTTAAGGAAGAGAAAGAAGTGCTCCGGGAAGGCTGGAAGCAGCACTGTTCCCAGGCCCTGTAGAAGAGCAAACGATGGAGAAAACAGTGAATCCAGAGAAAGTCGAAGAAAGCAAAGCAGACCCTGGGGAAAGCAGGTAGGTTTCTTCTGGAACGGGTGCTGCAAACACCAGCTTCCCTTGGCAGGTGGAAATAAACCAGCGTTTTAAGCAAACACTTACTCACTACGTAAACCATCCCCACAGGAGAGACCCTAGGTTTGCAGTCCAGGACTATGATTGTCTTTATTCCCTACCATGGGATATCACGCCATAGATTTCAAAAGACTTTGATTAAATCCTATGTGAGGTTTATAAATTTATTATAGGTTGATTATAAGTTTTGCTTACACACCATAAATATGTTATCTTTCTTCCTGCTTGCATGTTTCAGTAATATTTCATCCCTTATGACCTCTTGCAGGATTACTTAGAAGCAATTCTTGTTCACTGTGTTGCAATCATAACATTTTTTTGCCCAGCATGTGCAGAATCACCTATACAATCCTTAGGAGATTCAGGCAGACCAACCTGTTTGTAAGTGTCTATATCTTCCAGCAAGGTAAAGAAAGCAGAGGGCACATCTAGGACTGCCAATACACTCTAGAAAGAAGCTAGAGAAATATCTGAGACTGCAGAAAATATCTGAATAAATATTTTAAAGTATATCCCATTTGTGGAATTTCATATCAGTGGAAAGTATTCTCTCCCATTTGAAGAAAGAAATCTCATCTAAAAATCTCCAAGTAATCAGTACTTGGTGAGAAACTCATAAAATCAGGGTGCAAAGCAAGAGCTGCCAATGGTGGGACTCCAGCAGTCCCCTGCAACCGAAGTGTTTCTAGACCTTCTGTTTCTAGACCATGAGGCCCATTTAAAATACTGAGCTGAGCCTAAAAAACAACACACTTCTACCAGGCCAAGAAGCCACTGCTGAAAATAGAGAGGCAGTGCCAGATAAAAGCTTTTCTTCTGCTTTTGCAGGGAGCCCCTGGGGAAAAAACTGCTTTTCAGCCTGGGTGATGGAGGCTCCCGGGAACGAGGACAGGGATCCTGCCCGGCCAGGCCACCGCTCGCGTAAGCTCAGCAGCTCCTGCAGGTCCATGAAGTGCCACGAGGAACAGCAGTGCCCACAGCCCACACTCCACTTACTGCTCCTTGCTGCCCAAACAGCTCAAAATCCCTTGGAAATGGGAAAATAAAGGAATGCACCTGTCACGGGAGCCTGGATCGCTTGTGTCTTCCAACCGTGGAGCATCCGTGCTGCAAGGTTGCAGCGGGGCTGCGGAGGGGCAGGGGCAGCTCCCCCGTGGCAGCCGTGCGCCGCGTGCAGGTTTGCTCAGCGTTAGCCTGAAAAATGACTTTATAACAACAAAAGGACACAGGGGGATTTTCTGGGTTTTGGAATCCATCTGCTGGGTTCTGTTTGGTAACGTGCAAAGCGCCTCTGACTTCAGGGCGCCAGAAGACGCTCGAGTTCTCCAGGTCGATCTCATCCCCTTGGCAGCAGCACGAACCCATGGTCCAAATTCAGGGCATTTCAGCCCATTGCAGCCCAGGCCTGAGCAGCAGCTTCAGCCTGTGTGCTCAGACCACGGGCACTGCGCTTTGGCCCCAAAACCCGGCAAACTGGGGTTGTTTGTGCTCCAGAGATGCCAAAGTGCTCTGCAGCCTGTGACTTGGCATGAGGGCGCTTCCTTGTCTGGTAAAGCAAGTAAATATATTTGCGTAATTTCATGGTGTTTGAAGACAGTGGGTCAGTTTTACTAGGAAGGGCCAAGGTGATGGCTTCGTTAAGGACTCTTAATTGCCTCAGAGCTTTGCACCCTGAGATGCAGAAGCACCTGTCAGTGCTGGTGGGGTGATTTTTGGTTGATTTTTTCCCTTGTCCACCCCTCTGCTGCATCCCCACAAGCACCCCCAGATACCAATGCATCTAAAATCAGCCTTTGCAATGCAGACTGCAAAGGCAGGATGGGTAGAGCAGGGAAAGGATGTGCCAATATCAAGAAAGCCAGAACGGGTGAGAACGGGAGGTGCAGGAGAGCCCTGTGCTCACCCGCTTTCACTGCGGAAGGGCAAGGAAAGCGTCGCGCGACCCTTCAGCTGAGCCAAATCTCTGCTTTGGCACCACTAGCGTGGGGCAAAGCAGGTTAATGATTCATCCCACCCAGCAAAAAATACTTTTCCTTTCTTTAATTCCAGCCACCCGCAGCTCCGACACCCGCCACCGTTCCCTGGAACTGGCTACAACGCGGCGGGCACCCGAGAGCCGGTACTGAAGATGGCAGCAAAGCTCCTTTTTGCTATTTTTGCAGTTTATAAAGTTCTGGGGTGCGAGGCCGTGCAGGGCCAGGGCAGCCCTGGTCCCCGGGTGGCATCGTGCGCCCGCGCTGCGGTGGCCGCCCACGCTCCGGTGGCACCGTGCCCGCGCCTGCCCGGCCAGCAGATGCTATTCCTTTAAGGCACAACAGGTGGAAACGCAGGGCCGGGGCGAAGACGGGTATTTAAAAGGGTGCTGGGCGAGCAGCGTGTCCCAGGGAGGCAGGAGCGGCCGCCAGCTCCGGCTTGTCCCCAACGGGTCCCTCTGCGAGGGAAGGGGAAGACCGGGCACGAGAGGGGCTGCAGGGTGAGTAGCATCATCCCCAAAGGGAAACCCAGGCATGCACAGGGTGGGAAATGCTTTTTGGGGCCCTTACTTGTATCTGCATGGAGAGAAGATGGGATTAGTGGAGAAATGCTGGTGCACTTCCAAAGAAGGTCAGGAACATAACATCAGGCTGGCGGGTTTCATGCTTTCTTCCCCACGGTGGCTTTCTAAGTGTTTCCTTTCTGCAAAAAGGAAGATGATTTATCATCCCAGTATTTGCATTCAGTCTTAAACAACTATCTAACAACAGATTTTTAGTAAGTATTACTATTATAACATAGCCTTTTGGATCATGCTCCCAGGAGATAAACCCAAGGAAGGAGACCTGGAGATTTAAGAAGCTGGTGCATGGGGCCATAGGGCTAAATCCCCATGAGCTTTGTGCACTGAATTTATCTGCAAAGCAAGTGTCCTTGCAGGATTATCCACACATTTCATCCGAAGTACAGAGGAAAAAAGTGCCATTAACAGAAATTGTTGCCAAAATAGGGGCATCAGTGCCACGCTTCAATCCATCAAACACTTCTCCTGCAGTCAGGGGCAGGACAGCGAGTGCTCTGGGTTATAGCTCCTAAAAATACTAACGGCATTAAGCTAGAATAATAGTTTAATAGCACTGAAATCGGTTTCACTTTCCAGCCCAAGAGGCAGGAAACAAAGCTGAGTACAAATGAACCGTAGGAATCCTACCTGGAATGGGGCAAGTGAGCGTACGGTAGCATCTAAGATCTTAGGAGACCGGCAGGTCACATCAGCAGGGCAAGCTCAGTGAGCATTTCAGCCTTTGCATGAGAGTCACCTTTTGCACAGAACATATTGCTGCTAAAGGACAGCAAATGAGTGGGATATGCAAAAATCCTTCACTGGGAAGGTCACAGGTACTGCAGGAATTCTTACCAGCTGTTGATTTTGAAGGAAATCCTGAAATCCTTCTGTAAAATCTGCCTAGCTGCTTCAGTGCATCACAAAATCAGCACCTGCTCTTTATTTATCTTTTTCATATTGTGATGGAGGCATCGATTTGGAACACGAAATATTTATTCTTTGTATGTGTTCAGGTCAGCTTGAACTTGTATCTTCAAAAAAAAAAAAATCTATCGCTTGCTCTCAAACTCTGTGAAGGGCAGTGAAAATGTTCTACCCAAGTGGATGGGAGGCTTTACCCAATCCCACCACAAGCATCTGAAAGTCTCTGTGCAGTGGTGGTGATGGATAGCATAAAAATGCAGCTAGACCTGGTACCTGCATATAGGAAAATCCGTGTGCATGCCCCGCTCCTCGGCAGGTGGGTAAATGTCCCTGCTTGCAGCAGATCCTCTGGCATGACCGCCCAGTGCAGCAGGGTCACCATGCAGGTCTGCATCACATCATGCTCGTGGTGCCAGCCAAAATCTCTTTAAAAGGCTTTGGAGGGAAAAAAAATATAATTATATATATTATATATATATATATAACTCCTTTTTGTACAATTCCTTAAATATTTTGGTAATGGCAAACCTGCTACAATAAAGATGGATCACCAGAATAGATTTACTAGTTTGGCAACCAATTTGTCATGTTTCACTAGCCCCATGGCACGTCCTTGACACTGGTCATTGCTAAGAGCAGTAGTTAATGGTTAATGCATGAGGCGGACAGCGCCGAGCTGAGTCGGCAGGATTTGGGGACGGAGCCCCCGCGATTCCCAGCCGGCAAAGGCGGCCGCTCGCTCAGGTTGGCGCAGCCCCGACCGCATCGCCCTGCACCTGGAGATCCTCTGCCCCAGCACCCATGAAAGCCTCGCAGGAACCTCCATCCCAGATGCCAAAACATTCCCACCGGCAACATCAAGGCACTCGCTGCACTCCGGCTCTGTGTGCCTAGACTGTGTAAAACCTGTGAGATTTGGCTCCACTTTTGTTCCGCTTTAACAGTTCCACCAAAAAGCAGCGTGGGCTGCTCGTTGCCAACACGATGCTAACAAGACTGATATATTTACCTGTTATAAGTTGGAACATGGAGAAAAAGAGGCCATTAGGTTGCAAAGGCCCTTGCTGCTGCCCCATCCGCAGCACTCAGCGCGGTGCCACAACGAGTAGGAGCCAGATGCGGGACGCGCCACGCTCTGCAGCGAGCCTGGAGAAACACCAAAAACAAGTCATGGAAACGGGCTGCAAGTTGTAGCAGGTTCCCCTAGGTGAATGTCTGGGCTTTTATCAGCCCCAGGTGCTCTCACGCTTTCACCGGCCGGCCTGAGGTGCAGGAAGGAATATGAATATGTGCCGGCTCAGCGCAAGTTGGGGAAAACCCCTGGTCCCTCACCTAGAAACAGCTGAATCTTCTGTTTTCTAGCACGACAACTAAATATACTTGATGTGTTAGTATTATTTTGTTTATGATCGGTCTCTGCTGTTGCTTTGGCAGCAGGGAGGTTGCAGCCTTACGTGCAAAGACTCCCCATGCAGGGAGCTCTGCAGCGCTGGCACCTTCACCTTGCCTTAATGATGGACAGGGAAGAGGAATAAGCTGGCAATGCTGGGGATGCAGAACGAAAGCAAGTGCCACTTCTCAAGGAACAAGGTTCAAGTGGCATCTAAAAGGCAAGCGAAGAGAAAGGGCATCCTGCTTTGTGCCAAAGAACAGCCACGTACGAGCCCTTCGCGTCCCCCAGCACATGCCTGCCGCTTCGTGAACCTGCTCTGGGGATGGCACAGCTGCATCTGGCGCTTCCTCTGGTCCCAAACCTTGTCCCACCCACCCCTGCCTCTCCTTCCAGCTCCCCTCCGCCTGCAGAAGCATCAACGCGAACGAGCTGTGCAGCCGCTTACTTGCTGTCCTGTTCCTACGAGCCCGCCACTCATCTTCCTCCTTAGGCACTCACAG